TGAGATTGAAAAAGTCATAGATTCAAGGCAATGCCAAAAAAAATTAAAATATCTTGTTTATTGACATGGATATAATATTAGTAAATTCTTATAAGAGCCAATAAAGAATCTTCAAAATGTAGCAAAGAAGGTTGATATTTTCATCAACAACATTAATCAAAATCAATCTGAAAGATAACAAATCTTTGCTACAAAAGAAATGTAGTTCTGGAAAAGATTGCATTCAATCTTTCATCTTTATTTATAGTTTCTATGTAATTATGGTACTAAAAAAATGAAAAATAAATAATTAAAAAATTCAATTTAAAAACCATTGTTTGTTGACTTATTAAACAAGATATTATAATTATTATAATTTTTAAGATGATATAATTAAAATATAGACTTTCAAGAATGACATGTTCTTCTTCAAATAGATGGCAAGATACAATTTTTTTGATATTATAATCTTTAAAGAAATTTTTAATATTTGGTGATTTTATTGAAGATAGGAATAACTCTTTATAGTATTACAAATGTTTTGTTTAAAAGAAGTTACAAAAAACTCAACAATGATCAAATAATATGGTGGTCTTTTTACCTAAGAATGAAATATTATTAATGGTTGAGAGGAACTATCAACTACATTCAAAGAGAACAATGATCAGAGTATGTAACAAATATAATTTACTACATATTGAACTTCATCAATATGTGATCAGTATTCCTCGTAGAACTCATCTCTAAAAAGAGAGGCAATGTTATAGACATATATATTTATTCTAATAATTATATAGATATTATAAATAAAAAAAATACAGGTTAATTTTATAATATCTTATAGGAAAGCTTCCTAAAAGCTTCCTAAAAACTCTATAGATATGATTTCACCTTTTTACGTGTTTATAGGTGATTGATAGATTAGAAATTTGGCCAACAAATTAGCCATGTACTACATGTATTGATAGCTTGTGGTATAAGTTAATGATGTAGCATATATATATTAAACTTGACTTGCAATTTAAGACATGTGTCTTATAAATTGGATATGTATCAAAAGTTCTATAGAATATTGCTACATAGCTTTTAGTTAGATAATATATATAAAGGCCAAAGTAAAGCCTTCTTCACTCTTGTTAAGACCTTTCTAATCTTTAATCTTGTTTCAAGACTTTTTAGTCTTCTTGTCTTTGGTAATAGTCATTCTAATTTTATTACTATATTAGTTTTGAATGAATATCTATTCTTTTTGAGTTACATAAGAATATATTGAATTTTTGATTTTTTAAGATTGATATTCTTGAAAATTTGTGATAACATTATACTAAAAAAAAAAATCAATGCATGTGTTTTTATAAAAAGTGCTTTAAAAAATTTATTGCAATATATCTTAATCTTATATAAAAATTTAACTTTAAAGATTGAAATTTTTTTTTAGCTTCTTTATTCTACTCAAATTTATCTTTACAAGTCAAATATGTAAGTAAAGTTGTAGTTTGAATAAAATTCTTGATAAAGATTTAATAATTATTAAAAAATTCTAACAATCATTAGAAATTTTTTTATTTTTTTTGGAATCTTTTAATCTATAGTAAATTCAATTTTTTAAAAATTTATTATAAGATCATTTTTTAAATGATGTATTCTAAAAATTAACTTAATTTTTTAAAATACATAGTTTTCCATCTTAGCATACAATATTGTATCTTTAAGTTTTTGTAATATACAACAAACATAAAATTCATGCTTTATTATGTTTTTAAAGTAAATTAAAAAAATTATAGATACAAAATAACCAAATCATCTAAAAAAATTTAAATAATATTTTTTATTAAATATTAAAAAATAATTAATTTATTTGCCAATCTAAAAGACATGATATCATATTCAAAATATCTATATTTTTTTCAAAATATGATCTTTTATTCATCTCTTTTTTTAAGTGCATACCAAGTTGTATGTCATTTCTAGATATATTTTTATACAGATCTTTAATTGATTTAATTGATCAAAGAGTCATGATATCTTAAATAGGAGATATCTATTCTTGATGGTAATCTTATTGAATCATCAATAATCTACATAGGTTTGTAATGATTAATCTTTTTTCTTTACAATCAAGATAAGAAACTCATGTTAGAGATTTTGAATGATATCCAAAGCTTTTGGCCAAGTTTTGAGCAATGTATTCTTTGAATGAAGCCAATTCATTTTGTAAGAAGTTATACATTGGTCTAAATAGTGGTTGAGCTCTTTTTTAAAGATTGATTGAGCAATAATAAAGAAATTTTTTTAAAGAAATATTTATATTTTTCTTCTAAAAAAATGTATTAATAATTTTTATATTGGATTAAATTATAGCTTAAAGTCTTTTTACCATTATAAATGAATGTGGTATAAATAATAAAAAATGATCCTTCTTTTGCAACATGCATGAAAGCTCTTACACCTACAAAAAAAGATTTGATTGTATTAGATTTGTAATTTTTTACTTGGTGAACAATAAAATCAATAACAAATATGTTGTTTGTCATTTATATATTTTCTATATGAATATTATTTATAGATATTTATAAATACTAAAATAGATAACTAATCACTATATACATATATAATGATATCTATGGTTAGTCTAAATATATATATATATATATATATATATATCTATATATCTATATATATTAATCAATTATAAGACTTAAAAATCTTATGACTACTTATTATAATTACTTACTTTTAACTTTATAGATGATCATAATTCTAAGGTTTATAAAATACAAAATTCTATCAGACTTAATTAATTGAATACAAGAAATCTAGTTAGCACATAATGTTACATCAAATACATAGACATTCTAACTAAGTTTATGATGCTTGTAAAATTTTATAAAGACTTATAAATTATAAAGCAATGACAACAAATACTTCTGCATGGTAAAACAATAGGCCATTTCCTAAGATACATATCTCTTATCTTATCCATACTCCTTGAAAGTTCTCTTTAAAAACACACAAAATGTTTTACCAACACTAATATCCAATGATCAAATGATCAACTCCTAAGTTCCAATAAATGTATGCATATATATACGTTTATATATATATATATATATATATATATACATAGATTCATACAATTTTATGTAAAAAATCAAGCATCTCGTGCAAAGAAACATTAGAATCAGGAATGATACTTATTGTGGTCTCATGAAATGTGATCTCCACATCACAACACGTCAATCCTCGTAAGCCGGATCAGAGTCCACAGGTGCATGGAGGGGAAGCTCATCAAAGCATCCCCTCATTCCAGCCAGTCTGTACTCGCCACCTGAATCAGGTCCATCGGTAAATTTTCACAGATGGGAATCGAGCAGCTTCAGCGTCAGAAGGAACACATCTCTGAAATCTGGGTGCATGCAAATATGGCTTGAATATATTTGTTACTTCATTTATACCGCTCTTTTGTCCTGCTGGTTGACCCTCGGTACTTGCAGGGGCAATGTCAACAACAACCGGGAAGAGATCGTCAATTTCCATTTGCAGGTGTGGTGTATAAATATGGGATCGACAGTAAATGGTGCGCGGTTCTATCCAGGGAAGTGATCTTTCGTGTCCCAACTTGATGAAGAGATTCCCTTTCCCGGGTGGCTGAATACAGTATCAACAGCAACAGTATGAAACGGCTAGCTACAAGCGGGGGCTGGTGGTCTACAATTTTGGGGGTGTGGGTGATCTATGATCGGAGGGCGGATCGAGGCACCAAAAACTCCATCGGCTATCGTCGTTGCGGGTGAACCCACCAGCGAAGATGCAATTCACACCCAGTGCCATTTTTCTTCACAACTGCATGAATGAGCACGGCGAGCCCAGTTATCCTGGGATCTGACCTCATGAATGACACAAATTACAGGTGGGAGGAGAAAAACCGGCCAGAATTTTTGTGTACGTGCGTCCTTTTAGTTACTGCCGAGATTAATTTGGGTCCTGGGTTATTAAGGCCAGGGTTAAATTTATCAATATATTATAATGAGCTAAACGGGTCTTGTGGTAGCTTGGGTAGCTGCCGTCCTCGAGTATCTACGGATTAAAGTCCCCGCCGCATCGTTGAACGGTAACTGATTGAAGCCCTACTGTATAGAATTGGCGAATATATCATTTACGGTAGAAACTTCAAAGTGACTTCGGAACTTATTCTTGTGTTGGGTCTTGATTTTTTTTTAATCTCAATATTTCACAAATTAAAACTTCTTATTCTATAAAAATTTGTATACCTATCTATAAACCCACTAAAAACATGTCAAATAGGAAATGTTGAGCAAATGGCGATGTATAGAATATAATAATCGCTTGATAGTGGACAGTGATGTTGATCGACACACACACAGAATGAAAGAAATAAATTAAGCGCCCGTTGAATCGTTGCGATGCTCATGCTCAAGTGAAAAATCATGAGAATTCCAAATCTGTCCAAGGAAAACAAAAATGAAAAAAAGTAGGATTACATGAGCTCTTGTACATTGCTGCTAAGGATCCGCTTCACATGGTGTTTGAATCCCAACCTCAATTTTTAAGCACTAAAAGTTGGCAATGCCAGAGAAATTACCATCCTGTGACAGCTTCACCAACTTTTTAAAACATTCACATCCACTAGACAATTGTCGTCGAAGACTTTAAACACACGGGATGGTAGAATCGAGTTTTGACGGAGTTCAAAAGTGGAATCAGTTTTTACAAGACGAAGTGAAAAGTCGTTTCATTCGTTGCTCGCCCAGTAAAGAGCCTCAAGTGTGAGGAGGAATTTGGGAATCCGGTGATAGCTATGACTAGGGTGTGGTAACCACAAATGAATTCAGCAAGCTTCGACTGGGTCATAAACTGTTCAGTAACACTTTACAGATTGACATGGGTTCAACTCTCATCGATTTGTGGGCGTTGACTAGTTGCAGTCTGCCACTAAGCGCCAGACCGAGATCTCACGACAGCGGTGAAGTGAGCTGTGGGCTTGAACATTAGGAGGGCGGTCAATTGCATAAAGCCGAAGTTCTTCTCCAAGGTTCTCAACCTCGCAAACTCACTTCTGGATCTCTGCAACCTTGCAGGGTGCAGGAACGAAGTTTGCTCAGAACCTTTGAGGTGCTAGTGAAGGTTGGAATTTCGAGACAAGAGGATCGAGAGAGTGTCGGGACTGTTGAAGGAGGCATTTTCGAGGCTCACTCGTAATGGCGATTAGATTAGCCTCACCTCTATTAGTTTTGCTTACGATTTTGCAATGGTTAATATCAAGTCCTCTCTTTGTTGCCGGTCAGGGTTCGTGGCAGTTGTTGCAAAACAATGCTGGTATCTCCTCTATGCATTCAGCCGTAACGCGCTTCAATACCGTCATCTTTCTTGATCGGACCAACATTGGTCCCTCCCAGATCAAATTGCCTGATGGACGATGCCGCCAGCAGCCTGCGGAGCGCATTTCTAAGTCTGACTGCTATGCCCATTCCGTCATGTTCAATCCTGCCAATGGTGCTGTTCGAGCTTTATTCATCTTCACAGACACCTGGTGCTCGTCCGGTCAGTTTATGTGGGATGGACAGATGGTCCAAACGGGAGGAGATTTTGAAGGCAACAAGAAGATCCGAACACTTACCCCTTGCCCCGCTAGTGGAAACTGTGACTGGACGGAGACTGGTACGGAGCTGAGTAGGGGACGGTGGTACTCAACCAACCATATTCTTCCTGGTGGAAACCGTCAGATCGTCATGGGAGGTCGTAATGAGCCCACATATGAGTTTGTGCCGAAGAGGACAGCCGGTGAGGGAGTGTTCGCTTTGAGTGTGTTGGGGGCATGCTGCGACAATCTCTATCCTTTCGTGTTCATGTTGCCCAATGGTGATCTCTTCGTTTTCGCCAATCAAGACTCCGTGGTGATGAACGTCGCTTCCGGCAAGGTGGTGAAGGCGCTTCCAAAGATTCCTGGAAACCCCCGGAACTACCCATCCGGAGGCTCTGCTGCCATGCTTCCCATTAAGGCGCCACACAACTCTGTAGAGATTCTGGTTTGCGGAGGAGCTGCAACAGGTGCGTCTAGAACTGGGGACAAGGGAGCAGCCGCTTCAGCCAGTTGTGGGAGAATCAACCCCACAGCTGGAGCCCCCGGATGGGCAATGGAGGACATGCCTGTTCGTCGTGTAATGGGTGACATGATTAACCTGCCGACAGGAGAAATCCTGATTATCAACGGCGCCCAGAATGGATACCAAGGATGGGGAACGGCAAGCAATCCGGCCCTGCGGCCCGTCAAGTACAACGGCGATTTTAGAGCAGGAACCAGGTTCCAGACTCTGACGGGCACCGCCATCCCCAGGGTGTATCACAGCACTGCAAATCTGCTGCCGGACGGACGTGTGCTTGTGGCGGGAAGCAACACTCACCAATTTTACACATATTCCGGCGAGTTCCCCACCGAGCTTCGCGTGGAAGCATACTCGCCAGCTTACTTGGGTTCAAAGTACGTATTATATGTCCTGCCTGTTTTGCTTTATTCTTTTATCCAATATCCCATTTCTGTTTGAGTGAATTGAATCGAGGACACAGGAACTTTCTTGGACGGATTCATATCTCTGAAAGCAGTATTTGGAGCTGAACTGGGTTGACTAGCTTGCATGAGATATGTAATTTAATGATCAATGTAAACTAGTATTGATTTTGTTGTTTGCTCGTGAATTCTAATTCTCTACTTGTGCAGCTTCAACAATGTCCGTCCCCAAATCACTGGAGTTCCAGGAGTGATAAAATACAAGACGGCGTTTACTGTTACATTCAATATCGGAGCTCGGACCGGAGGCTTTGAGGTTAACATCCTGAGTGCTCCTTACTCAACTCACTCATTTTCTCAAGGGCAGAGGGCCATCAAGCTGGCAGTTGTAGCTCCAGTTCGGTCTGGAACTGGTTGGTCCACCATCGTAACAGGCCCGCCCAGTGCCAACGTCGCTCCTCAACAGCACTACATGCTGTTCTGTGTCCAGAATGGCATCCCTGGAACTTCTAGATGGGTTAGGGTGGCCTAGATGTACATCGTTACTCGTATTTGATTGAGTGCACACTGTGCTTAACTTCTTTAGTTGGGCGTTTTTTTTATTAGAGATTTCAATTCCTACATTGCGGCGCTCCGTAAATTGAACGGATGCCATAGATTTATCACCACTGGATCCACTGAAACTCTCACCTGCTTTGTGAATAACACCAAGTGTTGCACATAGATGAAGTGGACTTCACGTGGGCGAGCAGGAGATATCCAGACACATTTAGTTGGTCAGGCTCTTCGGGAATAACACCTTTGTTTTGTAGAAACATGGCAGTCTAGCTCTCTGCGTATTAGGAGTTTTGAGTGATGGCTATTTGAGTAACATTTATTCCAGCAACATAACAATTGTCGGGTTTGCACAAATCATGGCTGACGTTGCTGTGTTACATCACACACTAATCAAATGTAACACTGTTTATACTTTCTCGGAAAGTTCTAATTTTGACCTAAATATATTCGATCACTGCATTCCGAACTTTGCGCAAAAGCCACACTGCCCGCCGACCCTTCATTTAGGACATTTCATTTTCTCTAAATTTATGCCTAATTCGGTCAGGCAGTGTGTGTGGTTGCACAAATAACTTTACCCTGGTTTCTGGATGACAATTCACGTTTGCACTGTTACTTTTTCACTTCACAACCCTATGACAGCGGACTAGAATATGTGAACACTAAAATAGAAAGTTTGAAACTAAACAATGGTGATTCCAACATCCTTTCCACATCACATAATACTTGCCGCTTCGAAACCTAACACCTTCAGAGTGGTGAGAAATGTGCCAGCTCAACCTCATTAAAATCGTGTGTGTTTATTCGAATAGTTTTTATCACACGAAGTTATCCACTGGATTTTTCTGGTAGATTTTATGCTGTTTGAACCAAGGAAATTCTTGGGTTTTCCCTACGTGAGAGGTTTTTAAAGTTTGGGGGAGAATGGCTAAGAGGATGCAACTGTCAAAGTTTGTAATCAGGCAGTTTCATAGCAGTGGCAGATAATACGAGAATGACATCAATCGCTATAAGAATAATGCACAAGATATCCTTGAGTGCCTCACACTAAACTCGAATTCTTGTCCCTTCGCAGCAGAAGTCATTTTTGTTTGGGTTTCACTTTCATAAAATTTGAGAATTTAAATATTCTGTTCAAAAGAATGAGACATTGGTATAACTGATTTGCCTTTTTTTCTTTTTTCTTTTTTCTTTTTTTTAATATTGTTTTCCACAATTCGGCGTTCTCTGACTTGCTGTACTCGGCGGATAGCGGACGACGGACGGAGGGCAACGCTTTATACTTGCTACTTGAAGGGAAGACAATTTCTGTAAGCCGACCCGAAGGTCCGAGTGCCACTGTAGCGTCTTTCTGGAGCACGGATTTCTGAATCAGCATTCAATTTTGGTTGTAGTCATATTTTTAAATCTTCGCGCTACCCACGCGCATTAGTGGAAGATGTTGGATCCTGGTTTTCGACTTCCCTCCTACAGATGTGATCAGCAATTTCGTCGAATTGCTGCAACTCTGACAGTTCATTATGGTTCGAGGTACTTGAATATGATTAGCGTGATGTTTGAAGTTTTTTTTTTTTTTTTTTTTTTTTTTTTTCTTGGGGGGGGGGATATGAATTGTGGAGTGAAGAGTTGCATGTGATCGAACGGAATCCATTTGAACTTTTGCCTGGGCGACACCTTCCTCCGTTCGTAACCCTCAAAGTAGTGATCAAGGGACTTTTCAAAAGCCATCCAGCTTCCGCAATGCTAGTTTTGGAAAACAACGATCCCAAGTGCGCGGTGGATTTGTCTCGTCCACGTTTTACCCAAATATGCAAATGCGGTCGCATTGTCATACCACGTCAGACCTTCTAGACGCGCAACAATAGTCCATTCACTGGACCTATGATCACTTCAGCTTGTTAGCTGGAAGTACACACTACATATATTCTCGCCTGGTGCTACACGACAATCCAAAGCCAGCAACAAACTAAATAAAAGCTTTGCCACTGAACTGCATTTGGGCGTCGAACCTTCTGCTCCTGAAAGGATGGTAAAGCACCACCAATCAAATCCCTCCACTGAAGCCACAAAACTTCTTCCCATACTGAGTTCGTAATAATAAAAAGCGACGTCACTACTTTTTCCATTAAGCTTCCAAATGGCCTGCTGAATCAAACTCTAGTGCATTATTTGGATTTTCCTCTTCGATTACTTGAACCTCCATCACCTTTTACCTCCAGGAGTAGTTCTTTTATACCCGAAATGAATCTATGAGGCACAAAGGAGGTAAAACTGGCACAAGCAACAAAAGTGCTCTAAATTCATGGTGGACAAAGATCAATGCTCATATATTCCAGTAGATGGTGCTTCATATCAGAAAAACATGGATAATTCATGCATCAGCAGAGAAAATCAATCATCACATCAGCTAAGTTTTGTGTGTACGTACATATTTCAACTGAGTTTTACGTGTACCTGAGAACCTGTCAAGGAAGTCGATTGCTTTACTCAGCAGAACAGACAGCACAGCCCTGGCAAGGAAAGTTGTATTTCTTTCCGATCTAAAAAGTGATTCTGTGTACACAGTAGCAATGATTCGAATTGAAAAAATTGAAAATTTGACTAATAATAGGTTATGGTTTTACCCAGGGACTTTTTGAATTAGCTGATTATTTGAATGATCTACTCAACCTTATCGAATTAAACTAAACCACAGACTGAGAGCTCATCCTAAGCTCTTTGTATACCATTGTGGGCAACTGGCAACTCAATCGGCAAGCTGCACTTGCAAACTCGCTGCACGCAGCTGCTACTTGAATCAGAAGCCAGCTTCCGGGAAGGTTACAGCCCATCCTGCGAGCATGCACCTCGACACCGGCTTCAAGTTTCCATCCGTGGCTTGACTCGGTCGACCCGCAAGAGGAGTGCTCGGTGAGTTAGTAGGTGGGTTTTTGGATAGTGAAGGGCCATCGTTGTAGATACTTTGGAAACAAAAGTCAACGATGAAGGTGCCCAACTTCCTTGCTTGCTTGTCAACGCCACATGCCGATGTGACAGTTGACTGAGGATCTCCAAACCTGGACTGTTGAGCTCCAATTCTGTCGCGGTGAACGCCACTTTTTGTCACCCGCTGCCTCACCATCCTCACCATCCTTCTCATCATGCTTACCAGTTGTCACTTCAACTTGTCGAATGATTACAACCAAAAAAGAATATGAAGGAAAAAATCACCTTGTCGTGTGATTCTTCACACGGCTTCGATTTATTTAGATAGTATCGGTTGGCATTAACTTTTGTGCAAGGGGGTAGCTGTCGCAGAAATTTGCGGACAAAAACACAAATGAGGTCAAAATGAATGAGTAGAACTGAGATTTGTGAGTTGTGTTGTTGTTTTTATTTTTGTTTTTATTTTTATTTTTTGACACAAATAGAGGACTTTCTCTGTTGCAGAGGGGTAAGTTACATGTCGCCAGCCAGCCAGGGTGTTAGTTTACAATAAAAACAAAAATGGACAACTATCTATTTCTACTTTACTTGCCATGATAGCTTCCATAGTGGTTTGTTTGTTATCCATCTAGCCAATACTTGGTTCATGCACCATGATTGATGGAACTACTAAACGAGTTTGGCTTTGAGGAGCAATTTACTTTTCATATTCTCATGTGTTTGGATCCAAGCATTCCTTCCATAATCTATTAATTGCAGTCATATTCAATGACAAACTTGTTCACTCATCCAAAAGACTTTGTTAAATATTGCATCATTTTGTTTGATCCAAATGATTCTTATCACAATCTTTATAGTAATAATCATATTCAACTTATCTTTTTATAGCGCTTAGAAATTTGATACAAAAATACCCAGTATATTCACAATGGTGAAAATTGAAGGTATTGCATTCCAAGTATATTACCTCCTATTTCATTACCTCATTGTTTTTGTTCATTTGTCCTAAGATCCAACGTACTCATAATTTTGTCACCATTATCTCTATGTTTAAGGATCATTGAAGGAATGGTTGTTGAGATAAGAAGTTGGATGAAGTGGGTCCTCCACTTCCATGCTTTGGATGCAAAATCACATTCCTAGAATTGATACAGTACCATCTCCTTTAAGCTATTCATACACACATGATAACATTGTTCTGTAACTCCGTGGATGTACCGTTGCTAGGCATTCGTTGCAACTCTTCTATGCCATATTTGCCACAAAAAACCACCTTCTTTTTGTACTCTCTCTATGTTCCAAATATTCACTCATCTGAGCTTAAAACTTTGTAGTAAAATTCCACCTTACTTTTGTTTAATAATGTTAGGTAGTACATGTTTATTTTTTGACCAAAGAGCGCCTAAGAGAGCTATATACTACATAAATGGTATGTGGCTAGGCTACTTATACCATCTAGGATTCTATACTAATTGATCTATCTTCTCATAATAGAGGAAGATTAATTATTAACTTTGCCCTTTTAAAATTGAAGTAATTTTGACCATCTTGAGATAGCCTTGGAAATGTGTGCCTCCATCTCTCTTAAACTCATTTTAAATCCTAAATTCAAAACCCTAAACTTAGACATTCCTCTTAGCTTGTGTTCTTGTATATACATAATATCTATTCTTGATAGATACTTGCATTAATAATTTTAAACTATCTTAAGTTTTTTAGGATTATTCATTCCTTGTAGATTTTAAATAAGAATAGTAATATTCATGATCTAGTATAGGAGATAAAGACATCTTGATATCTATTAGACGCCTCTAATGCTCACAAGGATGATTGACCATCTTTTTGTTACTACATGAGTTAGAAAAATCATTGATGTCTCAAGGATGATAAGCGTTGGTTGCTCTTTAATATCAACTTGCTCAATAGTCAATTTAATTCATTATTTTTTAATTTTTTAATGGTAAGCCCTTAATTTTTTAACCATTCATTGAACAAAAAGACAACTAATCTAATAAAACATAATTGACTTCCTAAATTTTCTCATACATGGTCCGAGCAACTGAAGTATGACATTAGACCTAGTTTTAATGTTTTTTTATTAACACATTCTTAATGTATCTACATTGTTATGCTCTCTAATGCAATGCAATTCCATAGAAACACACTAAAAATTATATTCTTTGTTCAAATTAAATACTAGACATTTGGCTTTGAATCCAAAAAGAACTTCCACTATTCTATGTGGTTGTGCTTCTGTTAAGGTTGCAACATTTTTATATCTCCCAATTTCTTCTAACCCTAGCTCTTCTTCTACCCATTCCATCTAAGTAGAGATTGTTTGTACATCCAACAGATTGGATTTATTTATTGCTATCTTCGAGAGTGCATTTCCATTGTCACCTCCTTTTTGATTTTGAATTATGCCATTGTTATTACTTCATATCTTCTTTCTTCCATTGGATTTAGTGGTTTTCAATATCCCACCTTCATTGTTTCATTGGCAACTTATTCTTCATAAAGAATAAACAAACGCTTTGCTGATTGTGATCCTTATATAATATTATCTTTTTAATTGAACTACTTGTTATGCGCTTTGTTGAGTTTATTGATATGTATAAATTCACTTATATTAAGAGAAGACTCCCATCCACAATTTTCCTCCCTTGTTTTCCACATTGCCCATTGAAGGCACTTTTGATGCAAATAAATGGTATTAAATGGTATTAACCCTATTGTTTGCTCTTTTATAATAATTGTATTTTATTTTTCATTGGATCAGAATTCCACTCTTTATTGAATTACCTTAGCTAACAACAATGTCGGTTGTCCAAGTCTCTAGTAGAGATGCAATCGCTCCCTTTACAATTTGCATAGAAAGAATTACTAATACTATGTTATTCTCTTCTTATTGCCTACTAGATGCATTGCCTTGCTATTGATTTTGTCTTGACATGGCTTATAATTACAAGCCAATATTCCGTTGGATCTTTTAGTTTTGAGTTGAATTACACTCTTGTATCAAGTAACAAGTGGACAAATAGTACATGCACCAAATTGACAGATTGTTGTAGTCTACTATAATGTTTGAACATTTTCCAAGATTGGATTGAAGGCTCTAATAGTTAAACAATAGGAATTACTATTTATGAGAGTAATACAAAAAATTTGGTCTATCCCAAATTTGTTTTTTCTATTCCAATCCAACATAGGATTAAGACCTTGAATGATGTTGCAAACATTGCTTAGGAGTTCATTTGGAACCATCTTCAATGTCATCCATATTAGCATCTTCTTGCTAATGAATTGGCTAGAGTTGAATCCTACCATCTATGGCTTGAAGATGTAGGTCCGTTACAATAAGATGTGCAAGGTCCACATAAGTAGTTTTTGCATTTTTATTTCACTCTTAATTACCACCTAAATAAAATAAAATAAAATAAAAATAAAAAAATACTATTCTTATATACACAAGTTATTCTATAGAGTTATTCCCTTCATGAGCTACATGACAAAATTACCTTCCTTGTGGTGTCCTTGCTAATCACACCTTAATTACTTTGGTATAAATTCTAAATTTATACCACATTCGACCTCAAGAGTCTTTTTTGTTATATTGAGCATATATGATAATAAGATTCAGAGCCAATAAAACCACTTGCTCACACCCCTTCAATTAAGTGCACAATTAAAGGAATATTGTCTTTGCATAATTTGTGTGAACTAAAATGAACCTCCACTAACTAGAAGTTTATTCTAATTCACAACAAGTGAATTAGTTATGGAAATCTTAGAAATTCTAGCTCTTGTTTAAATTTTAATCAATCCACTCTTAACCTCTTTAAATCACCCAAGAGTGAGATGAACAAACCTCTCATACATGGACATTTATCTAATTCTTAACAAGCAAATAAGTTATAGCTCTTCTTTAAATCCTAATTTAATTATTCTTAAATCATCTTTAATACCCATGTAATTAAGCCACTTTCTACCATTAATTCATACTTATAATAATAATTCCTTCACAAAATGCATTCACAAAAATCTCCTTTTTAAACCCTAAATTTAAATTTTTATTGAATTTTATTTTCTATTTAATTAAAATTCATCCATTGATAAAAAATCATCCAAGTTATCATCCACAAATAAATTTCATCTATGAATAACTTATCATCCAACTTAAATTCATCCAAACTCAACATTCGTCCATATTTAAGCTATTCATATAATGCATTAATATTTTCATCCATATACAAAATCATCCGTTTTAACCTAAAATTCTTTTAACCTAAATCCAATTGAATCTAACCTAATTCACCTAGTGTAGAAGTTCACTTGTTCGTCCACCTTCTTCATCCACGAAGTACGCTCCTTGAAGGCAGCTTGGTCCCTACGTTGCAGTCTGTTCCGCTATAGGAGCGCTTCCCACACAGGCTGGAAACAAAACAGCCGTTGGCGTCGGTGAACACTTCCGATCCACTTACCACTACCTGGTTCCGCTGCTTCACCGTGATGTGCGTCTTCGACCCAACACGATCCGTCTCAAGTACACCGCTAAGTACATCAGTCACTACGAACACTTTACTGAAGGAAAAATAAAAAAAACCAAGGAGCACGACAATATAGTCGAATTGCACTTCGCAGCACAACGATCACTTCTAGAATTCCACAGCAACTTCAGTAGCAACCTGCATCGCTCACGTAGGCTGGCACAGTCAACGCTGACAACCACCATAATTTTAACCCCCTTAGAGCAATTGAAGAAGAAACCGAAGGATTAACAATTGACGGTGCTACCACAACCTGCAATAGAACTAGAACACAACTGGCATCCACTGCAGCAACCCTCACGGAATAAGAGATCACGGTACAAGAATCTCTCAACAACATGATGACTTGGTGCCTTGATCAAGACTGGATTAGCGCGACTATTCCCGGATAACCACTACAATTGAAGTTCACTAACACGAGCTCAGCAATAATGCTTGTAAGAGCATAAAGAAATGCGATAAGTAAAACAACGCAATACAATTGTCATTGCTCTCACTGCTTGAGAAAATTGTGGCCAAGACGACAAAAGAGCGCTTGATTAAAGTTAAATGCCAGCCAACATAGCTCCATTCTAGCAATGCTCACCACAATGCCAATCGAGCCGTTACTAACCTCCGGGAGTTGAACTCTTGACACTCACCACCAAGTAGATTAGGACATCCTCCACTTCTTCGACCTCTCTTCGACTAAATGTCAACCAACCTTGCACTACAATTCAATGTACACTTCGCCGCACCAGAGCCCCTGTTCCAACACTAACAACCTGGCAAATGGACAAGTCTATGTGTGTCGCCACAATGATTTTGTAGCAGTCCCGCAAGATGCCCTGAACATGTCGATACGGATTAAGCCACTCCTCGCTGGCCAAGCCAAACAACATGCAACATTTCCGCCAAACTCGGAGCTAGATTGAATTAGGAATTATTGCAGCACCCGCCAATGTCGATAACACTAGATCCACCAGACAGGGAGCAAGACAGGCCAATGCCTTCGCCGACGCACAATCCGCGAGCCGCCAGCAGGACTAGTGGCGAAAACAGCTGCAGCAAGAAGGAGTTCCTACTGTTGCGAAGTCCTCCGCCTCCGTTCTTTTTACGACAGGACCTCCACACGAGCTGATGTCGACAGGACTTTAACACCAGCGGTTAATCTCAATACAAGGAAGAAAACATTGAGCCACCTCTAGCTCCACAACGCAAAAAAAACTGCCGGACACCGCAGAGATTAGCGCTGCCATCTACAAAAAATAAAAATAATCAACACCAAAAAATAAAAACAACGCAATGTGGCCTTCTTCACAGCCGCCCACAACCCGCCTACGTCGGAGCTCTCCAACAGTGCGGAAGGAAGAAAAATAATATGAAGAGAGTGGTTGATCGCCACAGCACTAGTGCTAACAGCCACCGCTGAAACTCGAACCCGTAGAACAAAGGAAAAAATAAAACCAGAAGAAAAACGATCCGCCCTTACACCGTCGCACCAGGAAAACGGAATAATCGCATGAAGAAAAAATCGGAAGAATATGCTTCCGCCGCGCCTCAACGAAACAACAACCAGCTTCCACGCTGCCACATCTAAAACAATTGGAAGCTCGCACGCCGTAGGAAAACACAAAAAAACTTCAAAAGGAACCTCGTGCAGCTGCGATACAAATCAGGCGGGAGTTTTTTTCCCTGGAACTACTTTCGTGAGGTGAAATTTAACATACCTGCCCAGGTTAATTACTGCCACAACAAGTTCAGATTCTACCTGGTCTTCGTGACGGGCCTTCTCGATCCACAACATGTACGGTCTCTGACTACTCGCGCCATTGTTACTAGAACTAATTTTTGAATCCTAATTTTAACTCGTTCCATCTCTCAAAGACCTCAGTTGTTCATATGTGTTAACCAAGTGTGTAAAAGTAATAAAATACTCCCCCTGTAGTGATTGAACGTAAAAGGTTTCACCTAAGGACACCATATGTGATCACACAAGCTTACAAAAGCTTGTTGCACCCGAGCGTGGCAAGGCTCCAAAGCCACATCGTGTCTCTAACATTTTTTTTCTAAATCCATAGTTTTATAAACTTATTAGAGAGTGGAGTCCCATTCAAATAGTATTTGTCATTATTTATTTATTTATTTATTTTTAAAAATTTTGTTCTAATTTGGAATACTTTATTTATTGTAATTTTTTTTATAAGACCATGGTTACTAAGGTCCCTTGCTTAGTGAAGAAAACCTTTGTCAATTGCCTTGTTTAAACATTCAAATCTTACACCAAGGAGATGCAACTTTAGATCAATAAAAAAAACAAGTATTTTGAAGCAAAAGAAAAATTATCTTTCGACAATGAAATCAATATTTTTTAATCTATTTCAATTAAAATATGTCTTTAGATTTTTTAGTTCATAATATTAAAAAATATCTCTTTTCAATTTTATGATATTTCTAAATTTGTAATAGTAGAATGTTTCATCCAAATGGTATATTTTGTATCATGTATAAAAACTATCATCTATAAAGAAATAATTAAATTATGCCTTAATAATATTTATTTCTATCATGGATTTTCAAAAAATATTATATTAAATAAAAAAACTTAATTTGTACTAATATTTTGAAGATTTTTTTTTCAAAATATTAAAGATGGATACAAAACTATTTCTACCTTTTCATCTTCAAACTGATGGATAAAAAAAAATGATAAATCAAGTTTTAGAGCAATATTTGAGATATACCATCAACTACTATTAAAATAATTAGACAATTCTTTTGTCACTAATAGAGTTTTTTTATAATAATATAATATCTTTTTCTATTCAATAAATATGTTTCTATCTTAGCTATGGTTATCATCTATAATTTAATATTTTTGACTTTGCAAAAGTTGATAATTTAATTGCAAAAGATTTGGAAAATCATTTATCAAAGTTGCATACAACAATGAAGACATAATTAAAGAAAGCTCAAGAACGTCAAAAAATCAATGTTAATATTCAATACAAAGAAGAACCTCAATTTTACATTAGCAACAAGCTATAGTTATTTTGCCATAATATTAAGACTAATTACTTTTTTGACAAGTTAGATTATCAAAAACTTGAACCATTTCTTATTTGTAAATATATCAATTTAATTATGTAATGATTAAACATATAAAAAATTATGAAGATCTATCCCATGTTTTATGTAACCTTGTTTGTAAGATCCACCATTAATGGTGTTTTAAATGTTTTATTTGAAGAAATTTATGAAGGCTTCAACAATGATCAAATATCAAGTTGGACTTTTTGTTCTAGTATAAGATACTAATAATGGTTGAAAGAATCTATGAATTATCTTTATAAAAATAAAGATTAGAATATAATGCAAATACAATTTTTTGCATCTTAGACTTGTTCAACATGTGATCACTACTCTTCATGGAACTTATCTATAAAAAAAAGAATAGTATTATGGATATAATCAATACTTGTGATTAATTAAATAAAAAAGATTAAGTAGAAGTAGATAAAAATATGGAAATTAAATAAAATATATCATGTAAAAAAGTTTTCTAGAAGTTTTATAGAAGCGGATTTGGTTCTATATATTTCTATAAGTAATTGGTAAATTAAAAACTAGGCCAAAAAGTTGGCCACGTATTGTGCATATTGGTGGCTTGTGATATAAGTTGGCCATGTGGCACACATATAGAAATTTCTTTTGCAAGTTAGACATGTAGTTTAGAAGTTGGAAATGTATAAGAGATCCTATAGGACATTGCTACATAGCTCCTAATTAGATGTATATATATGTATAGAAATAAGAGTGAAGTCTTTTTCTCTCTTGTCAACATATTTATTATTCTTAATCTTAGTTTTAGAGTCTTAAGTTTCATTGTCTTTGGCAGTAGTTATTTTGGCCATAGTATCTTTGAATGAATATCCATTCTTTTCTAGTTATACAAGAATATTAACTTTTAGATTGTTTGTGATTCATGTCTTTGACATTATTGGTTTTTTCAACATATATATTATATTCTTATTTATTTCTAATTTTTCTTAATAAAATAAAATAAAATAATCATTAATATTTTTATATTATATTCTAAAGTAATATATTTTATTTTTTTTCTAAATAGATAGTATTTAATTTATTATAATATGATAGAATTAAATCTTACACCAAAAAAAATTTATTAACAAGTCTTTTTAACTATTTTTTCTCTCATTACTTAAATTAAAATTAATATTTTTAATTCAATTTTTAAAAGAACTATATTAAATTACAAAAGAAACTTTCAACTTAAAGCCTACCAATCATCATAAAACCATAACATGTAATAGATATTTTTTTTCCAAGTCTCTAATAAAATAAATATCAAAAAATATTTTAATACTTTTTTCTCTCATATTCTACATCAAATACGATAAAAATATTTATAGTATATTTTAAACAATAAAATATATATTTTATTGCATTTTAATGTATGTTCTCTAGATTTTCTAAATCTTTGTTAATTACACTTATGACATATAAGATATACAATCCAATATATATATATATATATATATATATAATTACATTCATGAGATTGCCTACTATACTTGGACATAGAATATTGAATTTTTATTTATTTAATCTTTAATATTAGAAGATTATATTAAAGATAATATTAAATAAGATGCTAAAAGATACTTACTGATTTTTCTTTCTTTATACCAAAATGTATCAATAATTTTTGAATGTATTTCTTTTGAAATTTTTAGAATATATAGATTTTTTAAAATTTCTTCAAATATTAAAAATTAATTTTTTTTGACATGTCTTGAATATTTTATATTATATTTTTTACTTGGTTCTAAAGATATTTGGATCTTATTTGTATCATTTTATTTTTATTTTTATTGCAATCAACATGTTATCAATATATAACATAAGTCGGACATAATTATACAAGCTAGTCTTTTGTAGTTATTTATTATATATAAAATAATCATAATAACTACAAATGTGTCCTTTTTTCATTATAAAAGAATCAAATTTCTTATGTTATTTCTGTTAGGGATATATTCCTTAGAACTTTCTAGAGAGAAGTTTCTAGAACCTTCTAGAAAACAAGCCTCTGGAACCTTCTAGAAGAGAAGTTTCTAGAAGCTTCTAGAAAGGAATCCCCTGGAACTTTCTAGAAGCTTCCTAGTTAATAGAAGTAGCTCGAGAAGTTTCTAGAACCTTCTAGAAAGGAAGCCTCTGGAACCTTTTAGAAGCTTCCTAGTTAATAGAAGTAGCTCGAGAAGCTTCCTAAGTAGGAGTATATATAGGGATCGAGGCTGAAGAGTTCTTCAGTCTCGACAACACATCTCTTGGAGTTCTAGTTCACCTTTTTGGTGTTGTTTTTGTACTCATCTGTTTAATCTAGTTCTGCCACTTCTTCTTGAACTTCTTGTTAGATTTCAAGTCTGTATTTTGTGTCCGTGACATTTTGTCGAGACTACACTAACTTGAGATATCAGAGCTAGTTCTTTCTTAGTAGAGTGTGGATTACCCCTCTACTTGAAGCTATACTAGCATTTTTTAGAGGTTGCGGATTACCCTCTTCTAAACTGATACTTCTTTTGTTACAATATTGGAGTCTTATTCTTCTTGGAGAGAGTGGATTACCCCTCTTCTTGAAATTCTTAAGGCGTTTTATAGGTTGTGGATTACCCTCCTATAAACCAATATTGCCTCTTATAGGGTCATTTTTGTCCTTCTTTTAGAATGGCCGGAGGTTAAGACATTAGTATGACAGAAAGTTCGGAGTCTAAGTTAGATGCTATTATGAATGCCCTCGCTACGTTATCACAAAGAACTGCAGAGATTGAAGGAGTGGTGGCAAGGCTTCATAATGATGGAGTATGTGGGATAGCACAATCTAAACTACACCAGCCTCAAATTTCGGCACTTGGAGAAACAACTTTACCTCAGGTTCGACAAGAACTACTAGTTCTACAACATAAGGAGCCTCGAGTTAGCCTTCCAGATAAGTTTGATGGAACACGTTCCAAGTTTCGAGGATTCGTCAATCAAATCAGGTTGATAACAGTTTTACAGCCCGAACGATATCCAACGGAGGAGTCACGTGTTGGACTTGTTGGAACCTTACTTACGGGACAAGTTCTATCATGGTTTGCTCCTTTGTTAGAGAAACGATCATCCATATTAAACAACTTCGAAACCTTTTTGGAAGCATTTGCGGAAGCATTTGGTGAACACGATAAGGTTCCATGGGCTACAACAAAGATCCGGTCGCTACGACAAGGGATGCGTTCTACATCAATCTATGCTTCGGATTTCAGGCAATTAGTATGCGACATCAATTGGGATGAAGAAGCGTTGATGAGTCAATTCTATTGGGGTTTAAGAGATGATGTGAAGGATTTGCTGTTAACTCTTCCTGATCCACGAACGCTCAATGAAGCCATTAGCCAAGCTGTGAAGTGCGATAATCGCCTATTCCAACGTCGCGAAGACCAACGCTCAAGACAACATACAATTCGCCATGCTCCAACTATGTCGGCAAGCGGTGTGAATTCGCATTCAAAGGTGGAAGACATATAAATTGATGCGGTACGTATCAAATCTCTTACTATAGAAGAAAAAAAGCGACGTATGGAGGAAAATTTATGCTTGTATTGTGGTGGAGAAGGCCACAAAGTCAAAAACTGCCCCAAAAAGC